ATAATTCTACCCAACATCATATATTTATCATGTGTACAGCCAAAACACGTTAATCCTATCTCCAGAGTCACCAAAGTTCCAACATTTCTCAAAAGTCAGTCTCCTCTGAGACTTGAGGCAAACTCTTTTATTGTTGTTGTTGTTTTGTTTTGTTTTGGTAGCGGAGATCTAACTCAGGACCTTACGCTTTTGAGGCAGGTGGCGGAACCATTGAGCTAAAGTCCTTGCCCCTGGACAAACTAGGAACCTCTGTTAAGTTCAAGAAGCAAGTTAATTAATCCCAAAATACAATGGCAGAGGGGAAACATTCTCATTCCATAAAAGGAGAAACAGAGAGAGAAGAGAATAGGACCAAAGTGAAATCAAAACCTAGTAGCTCAGTGTCTGACATCTGGGTCACATGATGGTAAGATGTGAGTTTCCGGGGGCTTGAGCTACCCCCACTGCTGTGGCTTTCCTTGGTGGACATTCCATGTTTCTGGCATCTCTGACTTCCTTGAGTCTCTCCTGCACCTTCTGCCTCATTCCCACTGCTTCACACACCTTCCTGTCAGGGACACATTGCCTAGCCTCCCAGGCTTTGCTTTGAAATCTAGGTAGAGATTTCCATCACTGCACAACTCAGTGTTCTGTGTACTTAAAAAGCCAGTGTCACTTAGTAAGTGTTCTGTGTACTTAAAAAACCAGTATCACTTAGTCAAGGCCAAGGTCTGCTGTTAGCAGGAACAATAGCCAGGCCCTTGTGGACCATAGCTGCAGCTGTCTTTGAGGTCCTGAATGGGGGAGCATGATGAAATGGATCCTGACCAATTCCTTAGATAGTCCTTCTTGAGTATGGGGTCTAGGAGCTCCCTTCTCAAATAAAAGTTTTAGGGGCTGGGGATTTAGCTCAGCAGTTTGGTGGCCTGCCTTGCAAGCGCAAGGACCCGAGTTCAATCCCTGGTACCAAAAAAAAAAAAAATCAAATTAAACTTTTATACTTTTGTGCCTCTGACCCTGCAATGTGGCCTGCCTTGCAAGCGCAAGGACCCGAGTTCAATCCCTGGTACCAAAAAAAAAAAAATCAAATTAAACTTTTATACTTTTGTGCCTCTGACCCTGCATTGGGTGGGATCTTGCTGATTTCTAAGATGCCCTTAAGGCATTTTTCCTCTTGTCCTAGTTCAAAGTACAGCAAAACCTTGGTTTAGTAGCATAACTCCTTCTGGAAATATGGTTATAATCCAAAATACTTGTATATCAAAGCAAATTTCACCATAAGAAATAATGGAAACTCAGATGTTTTCTTCCATGACCCAATAATATTTATATAAAAATGATTACAATACTGTAGTATAAAATAATAGAGGCAGAAAATAAAGACAATATAAAATATAAGGGAAAAATAAATAAATTAATCTGCACTTACCTTTGAAAAACTTCATGGCTAATGTGAGGGAGACAAGAGAGAGGAGGGTTATTGTGGGGGATGATTTTTACTATTGCTAACAGAATACCTGCTATCTATTGGCTCAATGGAACCTGTTTTCATGCAACTTTACCAAGAAACTTATCCAGTGATACTTGCTCTTGCCTCCTTTTGAGGATTTTTTTGAAATGTGCCCTTGTATTACTATTAGACACGTTCATTCCTTGAACTGCTGTAGACTTATTTGAGTGGTGTTTTTCTATACAATTTTGCACTGTTTCCCACATTTTATATATTTTTCCCTAATCTCATTTGAAGTAAGAGATTCCTCCACTTTTTCTCCTCCTCCTCCTCCTCCTCCATTATGTACTACTTGTATTACAAGACATGGTTTATCAAGTTAAAATTTATTAGATGTTATTAGATGTTTACTTGTGGAACAAGTTACTTGCAATCCAAGGTTTTATTGTACTTGGTTTTTAATGGGGCTAATCTCGTCAGTAACCACACCTCTGTTGACCTCAGTTTTGTTCTTCTTGTTGTTGTTTTGGTACTGGAGATAGAACTCTGGACCTTGAGCTTGCAAAACCTGGGGCATGGTCCAATCACTTTTTCAGGAGGCCCTTAATCAGTCAAGTTGACAAGCTTAACAATCACACAGAGATATTTGCCTTCTAGCTAGCAGGAAGAAGGTAAGTGGCCTTTCTACCATTATCATCTTGAAGAAGTTGCTGGTGCAATTTTCTCATATACCGTATTGACTAGAATTTGTGACCTCACCTGGTTGTATAAAGGCTGTGGAATAGTTTTTATGCTGGATGGCTTCATGCCCCGCTAAGTATCATAGGTCTCTATGAAGGGAGCATGTACTGGAGACAAATGGCTATTTCTGCCACAATTTACATTGTTTTCTCAACAAGATACAAACATAGATTTGTATGCTTTAAGAGAAAGCATCCTCTGTAGGACAAGGCTGAATGTATGGTAGTATGCTCTACTTAGTAAATATTTTCTTTGTTTTTATGAATGGTAAGAAGTCAATAAATATTTGTAGACTCATTAACTAAAGCTCCTTTGTTTCTGCAGTTGTAACTAATAGTAGTAATGTCCTAAAAAAGAGTGAGAAGAACACAGAAAAGTTCAAGGTTCATTCAACTCAAGTTTTATTTTTGTGAGGGACAAGGAACATTTAGTTTGAGGAAATAACAATGAATGTTAAACAGCTGCCATATCCTAGCACTGTGTATGTGATTATTTTTTAATATCAGATAAGCATTATTAGATTTTTTAGTATACAAGCTTTGGTCCCCAGTATTTTTTGTCTTTGGGCGTTTTAGTAAAGAAGCACTTTAAATTGTAAACTATATCATGTGTGAGGCCTTGGGTTCAATCCGAGGCAGGTGGGCAGGCAGGCAGGGAAAGAAAAGAAAGAAAAGGAGTAGAGAGGGCAGGGGAGGGGAGGAGAGAAAGACAAAAGGAAGGGAAGGAAGGAAGAAAAAGAGAAAGCAAGCAAGCAGGCTGTTCCCTAGTTTGCAAACCTTTAGTGATGAATGACAAGGCAGGTTAACTGTAAAAATTTATAAATGTGCAATATGTGATGCTTATTTTTCATAAATAATAGCACAATTTTTGGCTTTCTGCTACAAAAGTAAGTACTTTATTTGAAACTTAAAGAGAAACAGCAAGAGACATTGTGGTCTGAAAATCATATTTTAAAACAGCATTAGTATACAGGATCTAGATCTTAGCAGGAAATTCAGAATGAAGTCTGACCCTGACCTTAAGTCATGACCAATGGAATCTAAGTGTGTTTATTTTGTAACCTTAATTTACGGCTTGCAAGTTTTTGGGTTTTCTCATTCAATTTAAAGACCCTAAAGGCATATTTTAATTATAGGAACTAAGCTATTTATAATTTTCATAGCAAGAAGATCAGCACATTGAGTCTTTTTTCCCTTTGTGTGTTATCTTACACTCAGAAATATGTGATGTTTGTGTGTAACAATGCACTTAAAAAACAAAATAAAACAAAACACCTTCTGTGCTGCAATTTTGGAATTGTAATTCTGGAATTCTAATAGACTCATTGTCAATCTCCCTTTCCCTTTTCTAAAGTGTTCTCATAGAAATGATGCCTGAAATTTACAAAGTACATACAGTTACAGAAATGTTTTCTACATAATTTTGTAAATGTACATCATTTTCACAGTCTAGTACCACCCCCCTGGCTTTGCTGACACTTCATTCATAGTCACATTGATTTTGAACTAAGTAGCATTGAGTTTTTATCTTTCTCAGTTATATCAAATCCTAATATAATTTCCAGTACTGGAGACTGAACCCAGGGCATTCATATGGAGCCCCCCCGCCACACACACTTTAAAGTCTTGGGACAGATCTAACTAAGTTGCCCAGGCTGGGCTCAAACCTGTGATCTTCCTGCCTCTGCCTTCCGGAGTGCTAGGATTACAAGCATGCACTACCACACCTGGCTTAAATCCTACATTTTGAGTTCTTCCTTGTAGTAAGTTTGTTGAATGAATTATGAAACAGTGAACATAGGAACAAAGAAAACAAAATAAGTAAGTTAAACTTAGATTTAGATTTATTTCATTTTATTTTCTCATAAGTGCAAATGCTAACATACCTTTTTGATGACAATTCTTGTGTTTTTGCAAAGGGGAAGAAGAGTTATTAAAAATATTAGTTAATATCAAAGTCATTTTACAGTTATAGATATACATACATCTTCAAAAATACTCAAAATTCCCTTTTCTGAGGCCAAATTTCACTTGTCTTGTTCTTACTTTTAGATTATGTGACTATAGATCAGCAACCTGAGATGCCCTAATTTACTTATACAGCATCAAAAGTCTAGTAGGTTATATTTAGGATTATGTAGTTATGCTATGCATACATTTATAATTCCTTAAACTCTTCTACTAAAGTTTTTGAGGCTAAGCTTTACACGTCTTAGTATGTACCTGTCACAAATAAATGTCTAATATTCATGCCATTTCAGAGGAAACAGATGAAGCAGACAAGACCATAGGCTCAGGCCCTGCTTTAATCAGAGACACTCTTTTTATAAATTGATAGTAAGATAAGAATTTTGGAGGAGAAAAGTTTTTCTCCTTTGAAAAAGCTTGAAAATGACTGTTTAATGAGTAGATATTTTAGTATCTTATAATATTATTTAGTCTGTATCTCCCATCATTTTACAACACTGGAAATTGACAGCCAGAGAGGTCTTGTCCAGCCCATACAGATATTTAGTTGCAGAACTAACTAAACCCCCTTGTCCTGATTGCTTGATCAAAACACTTTATATGGTGTTGCAACATATACCAGAACCCAGGAGTATTCCAAGCATACTGCTGAGTGCCTGGCAATGCTAGATACCCAGTCAATGTGTATAGTGTTACAAATGAGTGATCTTAATGATTTGCAGGTAATTACCTCTAAGCCATTTCAAATAAAAATCATCATTTATTCATTTAAATGAAATGTTGGTCTTTTAGAAACTCTAAATTTGGCCTATTCTATACTAGCCAGTTGCAATAAATAACAGATTATTCTTTGTTAATTTTAGGATCACCTGCTGTTACCAGCTACTACCCATAACAAGACCACAAGACCAAAAATGTCAATTGTATTACCAGCAATTAACATAAATGGTAAGTTGATACTTTGGTTTATGAACAACATCTTTTGTTTAACCAAGATTTTCTGGATTAAATGAAAGACATTTAAAATGTTCAGTTGGGTAAGTTTGTGTTCATGCATTATTTTTGAAACATTTTACCACTTTCTATATAATACTGTGTTGTAGTTGCATTATTCTTTTTTAAAGGTTACTATATTTTAAAAGGAAAATTAATTCTCTTTTTTATGGGATTGAGAAAGATAATACAGTATTTGTTCTATAGAGTTGCTTTCAGGGACTTCTCTAGTCCTACTGTATTAGAAATTCCTGCTGTGTTCTGACAATAACTGTGTAAATTAGGATTTTGGAATTTAAAGCAGTATCTTATATTACCTAATATTAATACGATTCTAGATCAAGCCACAGAAGCCTATTTAATGTGTAATTCATAATATTGATATTAATAGTATCACTATTACATGTTATTCTACTACTAGTACTGGATAGTAAACAAAATACAATACCCTGGTACATTGAGGTTGTCTGAAGATATTAAGATATAGTGTACATGCCTTAAGTCTGGGAGGGAAAAAAAAGAAAAGCACAGAAATCACTACTCCAAAGAGAAATCCCCACAGATAATATAAAAAGTACCAAAAATTTTTTAGTTGAGAGATTACTTCCATCTGGGTTTTTCATGGAGACAAGAAATAATTTTATCCCAGTTGTGTGTAATAAATGAGCACAGTATATATTATTGACAGGTTGCTTTCTCTGACATGATACATTGGGCTTATTGAAATAAGAAGGTTGACCTTTCTGAGGTCAATTTATCTGGCATTGTAGAACTACTGGTAATTTTCTGTCTAGTGAAAAATACCTCATAGTCCATGAGGAAGCTGGAAGTGGACGCCCTTTGAACTAACCTGCAGTTGAACCAGTCTGCATTCTGATTGATGATCATAATTAAACCATTAAATACAAATATGACTGTAAGTTGAAACACTGGATTTTGCGAGAGATTCTAGGTAAAATCCAGTCTTTAGGGAACAGAATTTTTCATTATATATTTAAGACCACAAAGGACTATAGAAATTCATGAGCCGAACACACACAGCTTAATAGAAATACTTAGGAGACAACTTATGGTTATAAAACATAAGTCTTTTTGTTAAAGTATTAAAAATTATGACATTTACTTAGTCTTACAAAGATGTTCAGAACAAATTTAAGAGAAAAAGAATTCTGACACTGAAAAGAACAGCTCTTTTTCAGTAAAGGCACACTTACCTCTGAAGTTATTCATGGAATCATCATACTACTACCTGAAGAAGAACAGTTTAGTCCAAAATGTATAACAGTATATTCCAAAGAATATCATTAAGAGATCTCGTTTACTCTCATTCCATAAGTGTCTAGGTTTGTCGGTTTGAACTATAATAGAATTAACTTTGGTCAGCTCATGCTCAGAGTTTATTTCCTAAGCTTTGTCAAGGCAGAGTTCACCCAATTTTGTTCTGATGTTGGGTTCTTATGTAAGAAAATGCCTGCATTTATTTCATAATAGTGAGTTATCTACTTATATGAAGCCAAAAACAATAAGATGCTGTTTGACTCTATTTATGTTGGCCAGAGGACTAATATTTGAAGATGAGTCTTTCATGGATTCGAAAAATACAATCATTAGAGGATATTTATTTCCCTTTAATCTATTCCAGATTCTTTTTAAATTTTTTCAAATTTAAGATAGTTGTAGAATTAGAAAAATTAAAATTAGAATTCAAGAAAGATTGAGAACATGGGTCGAGTACTATGCTACATCCTCATCCTCTTTGAATAGTTCCTTTACCCTACTCTTTCAAATTGGTCTTATTTTCCTTCCTACCTCATGTACCCCACAGCCTGCTGCGAGATGGGCAACATCTTTACTACCCACCAGAGCGTCCAAATTATCTCTACTCTTTCTCCTTCTGTCCCCTGACATCTTTCTAATGCATATCAGACTTTGCTTCTTTAACCCTTCTTTGTTGCTGTCATCTCTCCCACTGTCACCAAGAACTCTTTGCTGCTACTTGTATCATCGCCTTGCATAACTTCAACATCACATAGAAGATTCATACAGTGATCTAGCAGTTTTTGTTTTTGTTTTTCTGGTACTGGGGATCGAATTCAAGACCTTGTGCTTGTGAGGCAGGTGGCAGCACCACTGAGCTAAATCCCCAGTGCAGTCATCTTTTATTTTGTGCTACCATAGCCTTCCCTCTACATCATCTAGGCTTTATCATCATCAGCAGTGGCACCCCCTTTGAAATCTACTCCTCAAAGACCCTGCTCCTTGTTAGGAGTACTCCTATTCTTTTCCTTTACAGAGCTCCAGTCTGCCGACCTTTCCACCTTTTGTCTCTCGTACTCTGAATGGTAATGTAGTCCTCCGTACTTAGCCTTGATTCTGTGGTTCCCAACTATCATCGCTCTTGCAAACTCCCCTTACTCTTTGGTCCCTCCCCCCTTTTTTAAGCTCTCACTTGCTTGAAAAAAAACCTGCCCTAGTTAAATTTAAATATGTGTTTTGTGCCTACTCTCAAGCATCTGAAAATAACTAGAAAATATCCAATCAGTAAAAGTAAATTCACTTCCAGTTCAATTCTGCTATTCCTTGCTGATAAATTCACTTACCTTCTCTCTGAAACAAGAATTTCTCACCTGCTTTTCTAAAATCTCTAACATCCTTCTTCCCCAGCCCCTCAGCTGATGAACTCACCAAAAGCTACATTAAGAAAATAGCTGTAATTACATGAAAGCTACATCATGTTTCCATTACCACCAGCCCAGCTGTATCTACACTCACAAACACTGCTTTCCCTCTTTTAGCCCGGCAAGAAAAGTTCTTTTCTCACACTTACAAGACAGGCGGCAGAACCACTGAGCTAAATCCCCAGCCCTCGAAAAGTTCTTCTTTTGAATTCTAAATCCTGGCTTTGTCACTTACCAGATATGTATTGTTGGACAAGTAAATTGACTTCACTGGACCTCCACTTCCTCGTCTATAAAAGGAGATATTAGTAATACCTTCCCCTTGGGGCTGCTATGAGAATTATGAGTGAAAGGGCCTTAAATAGTCCCTATTGTCAGGTTAGCTGCTGTGTTGCTACCATTGTCACTGTTGTTGGCATCACCATCCTCTAAGATGACTTCATCCTTTTGAGGCTCTACTATCAATTTTCACAATTTCAAAGACTTTTCTACCACATTCATTTATTCCTTTTCTTTACCATATGATCAGTTTCTTCTGTTCTGGCTTGGTCCTATCTGTATACAGGATTACTGTATTAATTGTCTTAGCATTACCTTTGGTAAATGGCAGCTCTCTGACTCTTCATCCTACTTCTCTGCTACCCTTCACAGCAAAGCTCTTGAAAGAATTATATGTCTCTACTGGCCCCACTTTCTTACTTCCCAATCTTGCTTGTATTAGCTCTTTGCAAGCTGTTGCCCTTTCATTACACTGAAAAAGTCATCAAGGACCAGGATCTTGCCAAAGTCAATGATCATATCTCCATCCCCATCTTATCTGACCTCTCAACAGTATTTGATGTACCTGGCTGGTGCCTCTTTGTCACTCAGTTATTGTTTCCCAAAATTGCGAATCTATAGAAAAATTAAAAGATGAACACAGAATCACCAGTTATAACATTTTTCTACAACTGTTTTATCTCTGTCCACATTCATTCACTTTTAAAAAATCATTTATGACTAAGTTAAAGACTTTCTGACACTTTACCCCTAAATATATAAAAATACATTTTCTGGTGATTAATATTCTGAAAATGTTATGAGATTTATGTGTTAATAAATGTAAGTGATATGTGCATTCAAAAAGTAAAAATACATTTTCTACAAAAAGTACATTCTCTTACATAGCCACAATAAAATGACTGCACGATGAAGTTTGTATTGTATGTTGATACAATACAGTTTGATATATAATCTATATTTGCCCCCCAAAATATTCTTTATAGCTTTTTCATTGTTCAAGATCTAAAGATTATAAAGTACATTCACTTGTCATATCTTTCAGTTTTCTTTACTCTGGAGCAACTCCCCCGCCTTTATTGTCTTTCATACCATTTACATTTTTAAAAATTAGACCTATCATATATTTACAATAGCAGTTTTCATTTTTTACACGTACAATTTAATGAGTTTTGCGAAAAGTAATCCATTGTGAAATCACTACTTCAATCATGATGTAAACATTTTTACTTCCAAAAGCTCCTTCACACTCCTTTCCAGTCAGTGCTCCCTGTATGTTTTTGGTGTTCCATCTTTCTTGAAACAGTTTATCTTCTAGGTCTTCTTGATACCATGGCTTGTCTCATTTTCCTCCTGTTTCTGCTCATTTAGCTCCACCAGCTTCTCCTCTGAGAGGACAGGAATCGTATTTGTTATGTCTGCCACTTAGCAGCACCTCCTCAGCTCCTGCAACAGTAGTGTCTGGCACAGGCTGCATTGCAGAATGGGCCACTTTGATCCCTGCCACTCACATTAAGCTCAGATGCTAGCTAAGTATCTTCGCTTTATGGCTGGAGACAGTAAGCCTGAAGAAAGTAATTTGTACCGTTTATATAAGCCACTACATATCAGAGCCAGAATTTAAATACATTCTATAAGCTATCTTCTGACTAGTTATTATATTGTTGTTTTAATATTAAAGACAGATGTGCAAGTATGGAAAATATTTGGGCCTCCAAAATTTAAGGTAGATTTTTATATCATTTTACTCCTTGGTGTAATGTTAAACACACCAAGAGTAGTACAGTGCAATATAATATAGTGCTTGGAGTTTGATAGGAGCATATTTGTTGAAAGATTAAGGTGAATATTATTTGGTGATTAATTTGTGGCCTTTTGAAATGATTTTACTATTTCTTTATATGATTAGTAACTGTTGGCAAGTACCATTTAGCCTGAACTTTTCAAATGTAAAATAATTAAAATGTATAGTAGGTTGCCTTTATACCACATTAACTG